CTGGGGATGAGAGGTTTGGGGTGTAGAAGGGTGCTTCAGGCTGGGATCAAGGGATTTGGAGGGTGTGAGGGGGAACACGGCTGGGGCAGAGGGGTGCAGGTTCTGGCTGGGAATGCGGGCTCTGGGGTGGGGCTGGGGATGAGAGGTTTGGGGTGTAGAAGGGTGCTCTGGGCTGGGACCAAGGGGTTCAGAGGGTGTGAGGGGGAACACGGCTGGGGCAGAGGGGTGCAGGTTCTGGCTGGGAATGCGGGCTCTGGGGTGGGGATGAGGAGTTTGGGGTGTAGGAGGGTGCTCTGGGCTGGGACCAAGGGGTTCAGAGGGTGTGAGGGGGAACACGGCTGGGGCAGAGGTGTGCAGGTTCTCGCTGGCAGTGCAGGCTCTGGGGTAGGGCTGGGGATGAGAGGTTTGGGGTGTAGAAGGGTGCTTCAGGCTGGGATCAAGGGATTTGGAGGGTGTGAGGGGGATCAGGGCTGGGGCAGGGGCTTGGGGAGAGGCTCAGGGGTGCAGGTTCCGAGCGGCGCTTACCTCAAGCGGCTCCCGGAAGCACCGGCATGTCCCTTCTCTGGCTCCTATGTGGGGGCACGGCCAGGGAGCTCTGCACGCTGCCCATCCAAAGGCACCACCCCTGCCGTTCGCATTGGAGAGCATAGGGGCCAGAGTGGGGCCATGCCGGGGCTTCCGGGAGCCACGTGGTGCGGCCCCCGACTCTGTGCCCAGCTGGAGGGGGGCCGAGCCATGGTGCAGCTCGTGTTCCGGCCCGTGGGCTGTAGTTTGCCCACCCCTGGTATAGAGGCAACATAATATTTTCTGTCCTGTTATCTATCCCTTTCTTAATGATTCCCGGTATTCTGTTTGTTTTTTTGACTGCCGCTGCACATTGAGTGGCTGGTTTCAGAGAACTATCCACAGTGACTCCGAGATCTCTTTCTTGAGTGGTAACAGCTAATTTCGATCCCATCATTTTATATGTATAGTTGGGATTACGCTTTCCAATGTGCGTTACTTTGCATTTGTCAACATTGAATTTCATCTGCCATTTTGTTGCCCAGTCGCCCAGGTTTTATAGAATGTATTCTGAAGCATATAAGGGTTTATGGGGCCCAGCGTGTCACTCCCCCATCCCAGTCACGAGGGGCCGGCCTCGGGATCTCTGCTGTCTGTGGCCCTAGATTTGGCTAAAGAGCTGAGTAAAGTTTAACCATTTCAAGCGGAACACACTCCGGAACTTGTCTCCCGTGAGAGCCCAGCGCCCGGACTGTCAGTGTCACAAACCAGCTAGAGACTTCCCCTGCTGATCGCAATGGGAGGTTTTAGTCTGAGCTCAGACCGGCTTCCCCGCACTGTGTGTTTCTCTGACACAGTGATACCGGCCGGTGTCCTCGGGCTTCAGGCTGCTCATCTGCAGGTAAATCAGCTTCTTGGAGCTGTCTGTGGCGGTGGTGAATCGCCCTTTCACGGGATCTCCGTACTGCGCATCTGCTCCCTTAATTGCTGATACCCACTCCAGGCCCTGCCCGGGAGCCTGCCGGAGCCAGTGCATCCAGGCGTGCTCAGCAGAGGAGGTGAAGCCGAGGTGAGCTGGGGCGGGCTCCCCAGGTGGGGTTAGCTGCTGCGGCGGGAGTCTCCCCAGACAGGGTTAGCTGCCGCGGCGGGAGTCTCCCCAGACAGGGTTAGCTGCCGCGGCGGGAGGGGGGTCTCCCTGGTCAGGGTTAGTTGCAGAGGGGGGGTAGCTGCTGCCCAGTGCTGGGGAATAAAAGGAGTGGAAAAGTTTTGAACTCTGCAAGGGTTTAACAGACTCTCACCCTCTGGTGTGGCCCCGTCAGCGAAGTGGCGTATGCTCTGTCTACAGGCCCAACCCTGACGCCCCTGAAGTGGGCACGACTCTCCTCTTCACAGTCAGGGAAATGGTGTAATTGCTGTCAGGGTTTGACAGCACGGAAAGGAGCCTGCCCCGCTCTGCCAGGCTTTCTGCGCTCTCACCTCCCCACACTTACAGTGACAGGCAAGAACCGGTATCTGAAAGGTGTTTGTTGGTGTCCGGTTCACAAAAAAACAAAAACTAACAAACAAAAAAACGTTGAGAAACCGTCAGTTCCCTGATTCCCCCTCACCTCCCCCGGCTCCTCCCCAGACATCCCTTTCTGAGTTTCTGATATTGGTTTGAAAGTGCGGATTTCATAGTTTCACTGGGTGTGGAGCGCTCTGTTCTTGTCATGGCTGGGGCGCATCGAAAGGGGAATGAGGACCCCAGGGGAGCAGCCACCAGCCCTGCGCTCTCTCCTCCTAATTCCCTCTGACACCTCCCTCCTGGGTGCTGCTTTTCTCTGCACGATCCCAATAAGCCCTGGACCCGTACTAGCCCACTGCCCTCAGCGCCAACACTTGGTAGTTCCCTGCAATTAAGGGCTGCCGGTTGAGACCTTTATCTCCACGGTCACTAGATTAAATTGCTGGAACTATATTGCAGGCTGGATCTTTAGCTCCGCCCTCGGACAGCAGCAGAAATTCTGGACCGTGATTGTCACTTGTGAGGTGGGTTCCTTTATCCATGAGGCCCCTTGGAAAATCCCAGCCCTGCCCCATGTTTCCAGGAGCAGCTGTGCAGGGTTTCTTTGGGAACTGAGTGATCTTTGCACCTCAGGCCCATCAGGACTTGGCGTAGCAGTGGGTGACAGAGACCATCAGTTATAGGGTTTCAAAGTGATGGCAGCTTTTATTCACCACTGGTGTTGGCGGGGAAAGTTCTCAAGGGATTGGCTGGTAATTGCACAGACAGAGGGGGAGGCAGATTGTCTCTCCGGGTGCAGCCTGGGCAAAGAGAGACAGATTTAAACAGTGAGCTGGTGGTCCTATATGCATATCCACCATGTTATAGGAGACACAAATTCTGTTGTGATTTATTATTTCTCTTGAGACTCTAGGAGAGGGGGTCAGACTGTCCCTTATTGTGGGGGTGTGCTGGGCCTTACTCAGTGCGGTGGAATCCTGAGTGTGTTTTGGATAAAATAATAAAATAATGATAATAATTAATAATATTTAATAATAAAAGATCCCCTGAAAGAGCACAATTCCAGAGACTGGACTTTAGGGCCTGTTTCTGTTCCCATTACTTGGTGATGGAAGATTCTCAGATCCCGGCAGAGTTGTGCTGCATAATGGGTCAAATTATTTGTTTGCTTTCGATAAAAGAAATATATAAATATTCATAAAATAGGGTGAATCTCAGCTCCGGCCCACGAGCAGCGGGGCTGTGAGGGGGAGGGGCCGGCTCACGGGGTCCCATGGGGCTGAGACACCCACTGACGCTGGCAGAGAGTTGGGACTGAATCCCGTCCCCAGCAGTGACCGGCTCCACTGAACTGGGCGGTGCCCAGAGGGGAATGTTCCCTGGTAGGTTTAGCCATATGGAGAAGGGGCCAATTGCTCGTTGCTTCGCTCCCTGGAGATCCCCCATTAACTCCAATGGGAAGAGCCGTTTGTGTGAGGCGAGCAGTGCTCTGCTCTGCACTGGGGTGGGGGACGTATTCAGGACGTGGGGGAGGGGGGTGAGGAAAGGCAGGGAGGGGTGGAGTGAGGGGCACAGAGTGTATTGGGGGTGAGAGGCAGGTGCTAGGCTCAGTTCTCTTTAGGGGCGGGCGACCCTTCGCAGAGATTGGTTTGTACTAGCTGGGAGGTGAGGTTGGGATATTGAAGGGTCCTTAAGGTCGAGAGATAGCAGCTCACTGGATCTCTGCGA